TTCTCATCATAGGTATTTAAAGGGAAAGTGTATATAAGTTTTAGAATTCAGTTATCCTGTATAGACTGAAACTAGGCACTGCATGCATAATACAACATTTTAAAAATATTGCTAGGTGGTAATGTCAAGTCTCCCAGTTTATGATTCCGAGTCTTGGAAATGCTCCACAACATATCCTTCTTTACCAGTAGGATGTCAGCCAACTCACCTTTTAAAACCTGTAATAAACATACATACAGACTCTAGATGTTGACTTTGTGTACTTTGAAGGGTGGCCATCTGGTCTTGGTTTTTCTTTCAGTCGTACATCTACATGCTCTGGGCAGTCGTTAGCAAGCAAATGATCTACATATTTTCTTTCCCCAAATTAGGACCACCATGTTTCTTCGTGGAGAAAGTTGTGTGTTCCTTCATGTAAACTGTGTAAAAGCAACACTCAGGGAAAACCTGGAATAACTGACCAAATTCTTGGAAGGCTTGAGCTGGGCAAATGTGTCAAAACTTATGTTTTAGTCTGTTTTCTGGAAACAAACCACATGAGGATTGAAGTCTATGGTTTTGTTTTTGCACATCTGTGGTGTTATAAGAATAGGATTTTTTATCCTTAGGCACTTGGTCTAACCTCAGCTAAGGCTAAGTCCTGACCAGATGGTGTAATCTCAGAATGCCAACACTTTGAGGGGATTAACAGTTAAGCATTAGTGAACTGTCAGTGGTCGTGAGCTCCAGACACTGTTCACCTTGGCAGTGATAATCACCAACCTGGTTAATTAAGGCAAAGAGATACAGACAACTACATCCATCATGACTTCATAGCGTGATTAGTGAATATGTCACGATGCAAATAATCAAGAACAGTCTTTGGTTGGGATTTAGAAGTTGAAAGAACATGACAAGGAGACTGTGTGTTTGAAATCAGAAGAGAAACTTACACTGAGTGTCCAGATACTGAGGTGAGGTGAGGTGAAACTGGGTTTAACGTCGCGTCCAAGATTATTGCACTTATATAGCGACGTCCAGATACTGAGTGTCATCAGTGTGTGGTTTATAACTAAACAAAAGTTTTGTCCCATGGTAAGTCTCATAGTCGAACATTACACAGTAGGAAATATGTCATGATTAGAATTATGTTTCCTATTCATATATAATTAATTTTTTCGTTGTGTTCATTGAAATTCCTGCATTCTTATTAGCTGAATTGGTCACGTGTTATTGCATTAATTTCCCAATGAATGTGAAAATTAAGCCACGCCCACCGAGGCGCACTACTTTTATTACTGCGGAATCCCAATATTACAGTTGAGGGAAATCCATATCTGCTCACGTGTATCGTCATGCACTGGACATTTAGCAGCATTCATGCAAATTCATTGTCCAAACTACCCTTTGAAACCGAAGGCTGAGAAGGAATGAAACAGCAAAACGTGCAGGCTCTCTTGCTGTTTTTTCCTGCTCGCCTCGGTTCCACAACTTTCATGTCTTCAGGTTTCATTTCTAACGAGCATTTTTTCCAACTTTGTTGTCCCGTTTTCAGTGAAGTAATGTTTGAATCTGGTGGTAACTGACCATGTTGCTTGAAACAGCCACCTTTTCCCAGACTGTTGCAGTTTTTCTCGCCTCTTGCCTTAATTGACAGGTCCTATGATCCTACTCTCTGTTGATTGGCTATTGACTTTGTAGGTGTGTCAAGTAAAGTGCTTAAATTGAACGATCACCTGATTCATGTCACACCACACTATACACCTGGAATGTTTATCAATCTTGTCATTTTTGTCAGTTTTGATATATACATCTGTTTTTGGTTAAACTTTTGTAGATAAAACATGTTTTATGTTGTTAAATTAAATCATAAGCATTTGCTATGTATTTTTTCAGTTCATTGAGGTATGAATCGAAAAACCGATGTCCAAACTTTTGTAAGCATCTGCTACATGGATTCATACAGTTTGCACATCGGTTTTTCAATTCATACCTCAATGAACCGAAAAAAATACACAGTCAATCCTTAAATGATAGTGTTATATATGTAAAAGCGTGTATGCTCTTAATTTGAAACAGACTGTGACCTAATCCCTTACTGGTTTACTAATTACATTAGTTGCCTATAGACTATACACTACACTACAGATGCCAGCATAGCGAGACGACTCAACCATACTCATATGCCAATTGCAGTTGGAGCCGTGCAGAGCTTGAATAGCTGTAGTCTCATGATGATGTTATGGCTTGGATCATAACTTGCTGCTTACAATAAAACATATAGGAGAAGGCTGATGGATTATCTTAACAGGGTGATGGAAGATTAGGCTACACCATGTTTACATACAGGAACATGTCTGTCATTTAGACATGGTACAGTTTGTATGTTTGTGAAACCTTTATCAGACAAGTAAATCCTATTGTTAGAGGAGGCATCTACCGCAGACTGATCATTATCATGGAGTGATAATGACTTCTTATGAAACAGTTATATGCAGCATTTCTACTGTCTATGTCATTATTTTCCTTATAGTAGTAATTGATAATTAGGGTGGAGATGCTGTTTGAATCCATCAATAGAAGGGATATGGAACTTGTTTATGTTACATGTCCAATTTGCCGTTATCAGTGGCAGATATGTAGAGAGAGTTTGTGCAAAGCAAAGTTACATGATGGTGATTGTCAGGAAGATTTATAGCTTGCCGTATTGATTAGCTGGTAAGATATGTGGTGATATACCAGTCTGGCTAGGGAAGTTTTAACCTTTGCCAGGAATGGTTATTCCATGGTGTTATACCTGGGAGTCTAACGGAGATAATACCATGTGTTGTGACATTATGGTGTAATTGTAATACAAGAGAGGGACTATAATATCATTCAGGTTCACTGATATACTACGTTCCTTTAAGACCCCTTGAACTTTCATCCCTTTTGACTGGACAAAAATTTCAACTAGAGGTCTCCTCCTTTTCAAAGTATGATTGAATAGCAATTTTTTTAGTTCTCTAGATCTGAAGCGATATCATTACCTATTGATATGGCAGTTTAGCATATGAGCTGGGACTCAAATGTTTGGATTCTGAGGTAAAGAAGTAAAGCTGATTTATTCACATGTCATCTTTTACAAATACTAGACATAAGACCACCCAGAATCTTGGAGAGCTTTATTTTGGGGAAAAAACCCAGAAAATTCAGGAAATTATTTTAACAGAAGCATGTTCTTAAGATATATGAACATTAGTCAAATGAAATGACATTTTGTGTTTAGCCAGTTGCATGTGTTTTTTCTAGAATTATAAATGTACTTTCATATTACCAACAAGTTCTGAAAATTCACAAAGAAAACAAAGTCTAAATATAATCCTTGGATATGTGTTTCTATTACGTTTGTATGTGTACCAACCGCCTCCGTGGTCTAGTGGTAGAGCGTCCAACCAGAGAGCAGAAGGTCCGGGGTTTGATCCCCGGCTGCATGATACCAAAAGACATTAAAAGATGGTACTTGTTGTTACTCTGTGTGGTGCTCGGCATTAAGGGGCTAAAAATAATGACTGGTCGGCTCGGAGTCAGTATACTGTGTCTGAGTGAGGTATTCATGTTTTTTATGGGCGGAAAGACTTGCAGCCAATAACAAGAACTGGAACTCACGTTTTTCTGCAAAATTGGCTGACCTAAACATACATATGTATAAAGTCTATTTGATGCATGTTTTTTTATGATGTACAGTGGTGAGATGAAAATAAAATATCTGTCTGTCTGTTAAACTGCCGCATGGTATCTCAGTGTGCTTGCACTATAAATCGGCTTCAGTCCGAACTAGTACAAGCAGCCACACATACATGCATGCATGTCGCAATATAAGTGCAATAATCTTGGACGAGACGTTAAACCCATTTCACCTCACCTCACCTTGTATGTGTACCATCAGAATTGCTTGCTGATGTACATGTTGAACAGATGTAGATGATTATGCATGCAGTCTTTCATTGCCCATAGGCTGCGAGGTGTTGATGAAATAAAAATGAATGGCATATTTAGCTTTGCAAACTGTTGTCATGTAATCAGAGTTGTTGCTAACCTGCTATGTTGTTGAATAAACAGAGTTGAGTGTTAGATAAACTTATCTTGAAATATGGAACACGTGTGCTGGCCCAATCAAGTGCCTAATGACGTACAATACTGTAAAAAGTGTCACAAATTATCTTGGTAAAGCAATGAAGGTCAAAATGTAATCTCACAAGACATTAACACATGATTTAGCCCAGTAAGCATTCATGCTGCACCATGTGCCAACATGCTGATTAAAAATGTTTTATAGTTTTATAGGGCATTACATTTAAAATTGATTGAAAACAGCTGGCACACAGTGAATTATTTAGAGTTGTGTTTTTGTGACATCCGTATTCAAGACATTCCGTATTCGACGTAATAAGCGCCCAGGGCGCTCTCAAAATTAGAAAAAGGGGGCTCTTATTAGAATATTACTTTGGTGGAAAAATCAGAGTTGAAAGATAAATTTTGTGGTTTATGCTGACAGCCTGAAATGTTTATATACGACAGATGCATTTTTCCAGAATTTAATTGCCCATAGTTAAGGGTGCAGATAACACACGAGTGCGTATTATACACAAATAAATAAGTCTTGTGTACATTGATAAATCGGAAGGGGGGCTAATTGGGATTGTTCACTTACCAATATATTAGCAAATATCGCCGTGGGCACTTATTAGAGCGGTGCGCTTATTACGTCGAATACGGTATGTGTATTTTACATGTTGAGTCATGTTCTATGTATATTCAGCTTATCAAGTTTCAATCCCCTTCATGTATGAAATAAAGAGACTACATTCTACTTTTAGCTTTGATAGGTATGTTTTTGCTTAGGATAGATACTATATTAAGCTGAACCTCACATCACAAAACATCTTCCACTGACTCTGCATGAACAGAAATTGTACATCTCAACACAATCCTACTTGCTCACAACTGTCTATATTTAATTTCTTTCTTCTTTTTTGCAGAAAATGTACAGATTTGAAAACAAATTTGTGGTCTGGACTAACATCCTCCTTGTATGTCTTTCCATTGGATACGTATCAGCGAACAGTGAGTACCCCTTTTATTATTGTGTTGGTAGATAAGTGTCTGCATTTCAGCTAGATGTTCCAGTGTGGATGATGCACCACTGAGGAAATCAGTACCTTGTCATCCTGGTGTCACATGTTAAATGAATTACCTTCTTGTGGCCTGACAGTGATGTTTCCCAGGGTACTGACACAAACTCATCTCTGTGTGGTGGAAAGGCTCATGTTACAGTCATATTGCTGAAATCACTCTATTGAACATGGCATTAGAGTTGGGATCTGATTCTAAATTTGGAGTCAGCACAGATACAATAAGATACATCAGGTATATCTGTATATATATTTTTGTGTGTATATACAGTTGAACCCAATGGATAATTTGTATACAAATATAAACCGCTAGAATTAAGTCTCGTGTCTTCAGTTGCATCCCTTAGTGATCATTAGGAATAGTTGGGTTGGGTTTAGTTTTCTCAGTTCAACTCTTGTAGAAAATTTACCAATTAAAATCCAATGTACCGTATTTTCTTGAGTATAGTGCGCACTTTTTTTTCCAAAAAACACAGCTGTGTGGAAGGGGGTGCGCATTATACACGAATTATGAGTTTGGATGTTTTTTCCCCCATGGAAAGACATTACCGTGAGCACGAAACACCTGAAATACCATGTCAACAAATCCATACTGAAGTACGCAAAATAATCATGTAATTACACTATCTGGCTATAAAAAGTGTTATTTGTATATCTGGACTTATGTTTGTAACTTATTTCATTAATTTTATTCAAAATTCCTTTTAATATTGTTTTTATTAATTTCGGCGAAATCGTGTGTGAAGCGATCGAAAGATCGCACAACTCACCGTTATTAACAGCAACCACGGTCAGAATACCGCTATTGACGCCTTGAAACGAACTTTAGTTGACAGAGAATGGATACATATATCATAAATGACATACTTTGACTCGTTAAAAGTCATATTTGTTTTTGTTTGACGATTCTATGTCAACATGAAATTCTCGCGATCACTCAATCATGTGTGCGTGAGCCTTGACGGTGACTGGTCAGATTGGTTCCATGTAAAAAATAATACCCGGGAATAGCGATCAGCTGCTTCGCTTAGGGTTATTATTATTTTAAATATGTTTAGTAAAGGCTGCATATAATTAAGAAAATAATGGAATATATTATTCCTGATAAAAAAAATAGTTTCAGATACAATTTTTGCCGATCCTTGCATTAAAAATCCTATAAAGTTATATCATTGGGTGTGTCTTGACCGAATCACCGGTCGATTCCAAGAAAACGTGTGTACAGCTGATTGCTGTTTCCGGCTTAGTTTATGAGACAATACACAAGGTAATCTTAATCCCTGGATATAAAACAATGCCTAGCAGAACAATAAATACTATTTAATCGGTAAATAAACATGTCTGGTGATTTTTTATCTCAAATTTCTAATTTGTACTGGCGAAGTTTCTCATCACCCGTTAGTTTGCCGGACTTCGCTGAAAGGGTACAGTGTAATTTTTTTCTGCACATAATATTCAAATTTCTTTTTTTTTCAAAATATTGAACCCGCTAGAGGGGGGTGCGCATTATACTCAAGAAAATACGGTAGTCTATACTAAAAGCATTTTTATGTTTGAGTTTTGTCTAATGTTGACCACATGATGACACTCAAGTTGCTCTAAAGGCAGCTATTTAGCTATTTGTTTAAAACCTTGCACTGAGTTTGTATGTGAACATAAACCTGAGGTACCCTATTGTACTACACTTTCCAAGAATGAGACCTGTGAAAATCCAGGGAAAGAATGGGTCTTCTGCAAACCACGCTTGCTGTAAGAGGTGACTATGCTTGTCGTAAGTGGCGACTACTGGGATCGGGTGGTCAAGCTCGCTGACATGGTTGATGCATGTCATCGTTTCTCGGTAGATCGATGCTCATGATGTTAATCACTGTATTGTCTGGTCCAGACTCGATTATTTACAGACCGCCATCATTTGGCTGGAATATTGCTGAGTGTGACATTAAACAAGAAACAAAAAAACAAACCCATAATGATCCACTTCAGTCAACTTTTGCCCATAATTGTCAGTTGACATTTATATATCAGTTTGTGAAAACACACATTATGTTGTTTAGTTCTCAAGTTGAAGGCCATAGATATGTGTTGATGGTAGCACCACCATAGATAATATAGGTCTTCCTTAGCATCTATGGAATATATGCTGCTCCATCATATAAATTAATGTTTGCATATTTACTTACAGCAGCTGTTGTTATCAAGTACAAAAACACATAATAAATTTGAGTTATACCTTGAATGAATTAAAATAATCATCTGTGAACAATTTGAGTTGTTTTTATACATTTCATGTATCCAAAATATTGAGTCTAGCTGTTCCAATGCTTGTAAGCTTGTTACAACGTTGTAGCTCACCTGACTCAAAGTCAATTGAGTTTATGTTGTAGCCTGTTTGTCTGTAGTACCTTGTGCATGCATGCATCATAAGCATCTTCCCCTCTGAAACCACTTGGCCAGTGAAGCTGCAACATCACATGCTTGTTCCCACCAACAATTTTGCCCCATTTATTTAGTTTCAAAACATAATTTTTATTTTATTCGATATTATTTTAACATTGTCCCTTTAGTATTGATGAGGGAGGTCCGTTTTGTATCTTTCTCCATATGATGACATATTTTGATCAAATCCTTAGATTTTAGTGTTAATGTTTTGTCCTCGGTATTCATTCCAAAGATTTTTATTGTCAATGCGGACAACAACTTTTTTATGTGTCTGTCTGTTTACATTTTAAACTGTTGACTACATATCGAGGTGAGCTAAAGCGCCTTGGCACTATCTATTCCCTTTCTCAACCTATTCTATTAACTATATGAAGCATAGAAAAAGAAAAGTGTGTCTGTGAGGTATGCAAGCATTAGGAAGGACGTTAGAAGATAAGTCCTTTTAAGAAAATCACTCAAGAGATTGTGATAATGCTGAAACCTATACTCATTCTGTTTCATCATTCGTCATCATATTCTAGCAGTGTTTTTGCTCTTGACATCACAAGGAAAGGAAATGGAAAATTACTTGCTTCATGAGTGCAGGTCATCATCAAAGTCAGAAGGGGGGATTTCTTCATTACGATGTGCCTGAAGCTGTTGTAGACCTGAAAGGTCATGATTACTGCCAAAGAGATGTCTCTTGACACGGAACAGATTTTTTTCCATGAGAGAATGTAACTTTGTAGTTTTTAAATGTGCATTAGAAAAGTTACGCCATGCTCAGAAAGACTTGTCATATATGTAGATCATTAGAGATAAATCCTGTCAATTTTATCCCATGGTACAAAAATGTTGCTTCATTGCACTTGAGAAAGAAGACTTCTTCTTGGCAGCATCAAACCAGTTGGCTGTTGCGAACAAAGTTGATAGTGCAATCTGTTCATCTTCAGAACTATCGATGCTGTCTATTTTTTACTCTGGCGATCTTGGAGATATTGATAGTTTGCCAACAGCATAGATCCGATGATTATAGCCGGCAATGGTAAAGATCTGAGTATTTGATCAAGCTTATATAAACCTGTACCATAGGGATTTGGGCAAAGGCTGTATCATTTAGAATGTTTGACAAAATTACATTCTTTTACTTGCTTTTGGCCTGCAGCTAAAGATTTTCAGGGTTCCTTGGCGAATTGTTCAGATTTGGCACGCAGAGCTCGATCCAGATCTTGAGGATTGGGTAGAAATCTTATTAATGTTTGGTTAATGGATGAATCGCAGGGAACATGTCTCTGCACTTTGTACACTAAAGGCCATGCTTAGATCATGTAATAGTAGCTAATGATACTGAAGTACACGGCATCAGTTCAAGAGCCATTGACAGAACAGAAGGAAAGGAGCCTTTACAACAATTGTTGTAAGACAGTTTACTTGTTTTCCCTATCTACCTAATTAAAAGTTTCTTCAGCATTTATTGTAATTAAAATGTTTCTTTTATGTATAACCCCAGTAATGACTCACTAAAAATGAATTGATATTGATAATGAAATATTTATTGACATCAATTTGACAAGTAAAGGTTCATATAGCATTATGTTGGTGGTATGTCAGTAACTGTTAAAGAGGAGCCATGATCCACTGGATTAGACTTTAGTCTGGGTTGGAATTAGTTCCCAGCAACCTGTGCTTGATGGAACATAATGGGTTATGTGGTCAGGCTTGGCATTGGAAACTGCTAATAATATCAGTCACTTGTTTGTCTGGTCTAGGTTTGATTATTTACAGATTACCAGGAATATTTCCGAGTGTGGTGTTAAACGTAAATAAACAAAGTTACTGCAAGATAAATTGACTATTTTTGAAGTAGCAAGCATGGATTGAATCAAATGTGTCAGGTCTGTCAATTGGCATGAGTCTGGTTCCTGTTACATCACTACAATATGCCTTACAGATAAGAGTAATAGCAGTCGTAAGTAATATGTAGTCTCAACTAAAACACCTAAAGTGCATTGTATCCATCACACTTTGTGACAGTTATAATAGCTCCAAAAGCCTTTTAACACAATGCAAGATTATTGCATGGGAAGGTGTCCATGAACAGCTGACCATCAGTGTAAACTTTACCTGTTTTCTACTTCTCCAGTTTCACTGGGCAGACTGTGTAAATGAAAGATTTATTATTAGTTAGTAAACGTGATGATATAATTTAAAGCAAACTTTGTCATCTGACAAAAAAAAACCTTATACAAAAGTCACATCTTTAGGATTAACCTTAGTGTTATTTTGACTGTAAAAATTTACCTTTTATGGAATAGGACTAACAATAAAAAGGTACACATTCATATCACATAACCTGTGTGTTACATTGTCTTATGGTATTTGAATTGTGTTGTATGGTGAAGATGTTGCCTTTGATTTTATGAAAGAATATGTGCATTTTGTTTTGTTATTATTATCATATTTTTATAACATGAATTTTGTCTATGTTATAATTAATAAAAATAAAGCGACAAA